TATATATAATATAAATAATAATATAATAATAATAATAATAATAATAATAATAATAATAATAATAATAATAATAATAATAATAATAATAACAATAATAGTTATAGTAATATATATTTAATATATATAATCGGGGTCAAGGCGAGGTGGGGACTTCACTTCCCATCCCCATCGCCACCCCGCCAAGGCAATCTCCATCTTGACCCCATCGAGTTAGGGTAGGGGTGCTTACGGTTCAATTATCCGAACTTTAGGCTTATTTTTTAAACCAAACTAGGGTTACCGGTTTTTGGAAATTGGTAACTGAAACTGAACTGAAGCCGATCAGTTAACCGGTTGATCGGTTTGGTTAACCATTGGTTCGGTTCGTCGGTTCGTCAGTTTTTTATTATTTACAATATTAATTATAAAAAATATATAAATATATAATAAAGCACTAGAAATATATATGAAATATTATACTTTAAATAATAAATAATATATTATATATTATAAATATATATTTATATATAATACATATTTATTAATTTATAATATATAAAAAATATAAAATATATATAAATATATGTATACCGATCGATTCGGTTAAAAGCCGATTTTCTATTTTTGGTTAACCAAAACCGAAACAAAAAAAATTGGTTAACCGAACTAGTCGATTCAGTTTCGATTGGTTTTKGGGTTGATTCGATTTTTCATCTTTTCTTGCTCACTCCTAAGTTGGGGAGGGGGATGGGTACCTGGCGGGAATGGGGAAATTTGGCATCTCTAATCTAAACACTATTTGGAGGTTTTATGTTCTGCCATTTGTGTGTTCCAAATTATTGCACAACCGTTAGATGAGAATTTAGACACTGATTGTACGTTTAAACAGTGTACTTGCTTCTTCCTTGGTACTTGTGTGCACGAAAACTGGAATTAGGAAAAAAAATTTAAGTTAGATATGAAATATGATTTTTGTAAAACCGTTCAATAAGTGCCTAATCAGCATCTAATGGTAATTTTAAGTGGTGTTAGGGATCATTGTCGTTTTTTTSAGAAAATGGTACCACATCAGATTTTCAAAAAATGATAAAAAAGAAATTGGCATATGCTATTTGGTCAACCATTTTCTCAAAAAAACAGTAAAAAACGTTTTGCCATTTTCTAAAAAACTGTTCATTTTTGAAAACACCGTTTTTGGTGTTTTTTCTTTCCAAGATGTTTTGTGGTATGATGGCTGATGTGGGTCCTATTGTGGCGCCATTTTCTTATAAAATACAGTGGCATTTTTTGAAAAAAAAAAACACAATGAAACCAAACACCCCCTTAGTAGAAACGGTCATAAAATGTTTGGTTGCTGCATGTTTATTTATTCATGAAATGGAACCGGTGAAGGGGAAACGATGCCAAACAGAACTCTCACCAACAGCCTCACATGGATTGTCCATTCCCTAGCAAAGCAACGGCCACGTGTATGGACAGCTCTAAAACTCCAATAGAATTGATTAGATCAAGACTGCCACGTGTCAGACAGCAATACCTTGGTTGCAGAGGAGAAGAAAACCAGCCCACGTGTTCTCCCAACTATTGCTTCTCTTGTGCGTGTGTGCGTGTGAGACCTGTTTGTTCACTTTTACGGTTTTACCCACTTACGAGTTACGACTTACGACTCAAAAACCCTTCTCTTTCCATCCCATTTTATTATCACTACCGTTCTATGATCGGATCTTCTTCTCAAATCTCAACTTGTTTTATTTCGTTCTTAAGCTTTAATTAACCCTTTTCACTTTCTCTCCCTTAATACTCTCTCTCTCTCCTCTCATCATTTATAAATAGGCCTAGATCATATCCTTCAAAGAATTCTCTTCCCCTCTTCGGGTTTTCTTTTGACGAGAGAAGAGAGAAGCCGCACTCCTTTCAATCGCGTATGATTTCCGAACAAAACCCATTTGAGGTCTGAAGAGAAAAAAAGAAAAAAACAATATATATAGAGAGAGAAGCAAGAACCAAACACACAGAGAGAGAGAGAGAGAGAGAGGCACCCCACGACAGGGAGATTGAGAAATAAGAACAGCTCTTGAAATCGGTTTTGATTTTTGAGATCTTGTCCTCCTACAATGTCTTCTTTGTAGCGGACAAGGTAAATAAACGTAAAAATTAATAAAGTTTTTATCATCATAAGTCTTCTCTCTTCCCTTTCTCCTCCTTGCAAATCTCTAATTATTTTGATATTAACGCTCTCAATCGAGCTTCTGCAACTCGTCTTCTGTTTCGATGGAAGCTGAGAAGAAAGGGGAGAGAGAATAACAGTTTGTTTGTTGTATTTATTTTTTTTGTGGGTTTGACATAGTTGTTTTTTAATTCTTTTTTGAAGAATTTAAGATTAGGGTTTTTCTTACTTGGGGTGCGATTGGCGTGTTTCTGCTGGTGGATTTTTCTGTGGTCGGATCGTCAGTCGGGACGGCTCTAATTTTGTGGGGTTCGACTGTTAGGGTTACGATCAGAATACAGGTGGGCGGAATAAGGAGGGGAGTATTGGATTATTGAGGTGGTGTCGTTCAGTGTTAAGTCAAGATCGAGAAGCGTTATATTATGGGTGCAAGCTTGGATTTTGTTACGAGTTGGCTTTGTGGACTCAGCTCTTCTGGTTTTGTGTTTAATGACGTTTTAGAACGGTGAATCTGCAGTAGGCGATGGTGGAAGATTGTTCTTTTGGACATGGAAGAAGATTGCATTTTAGAATTTGTAAAGATGGTGATGCAGAATTAAGTATTTCATTGATTGAAAGGTTTGGGTGCTTGTATCTTGTGCTCTCCGAGTAGTTGATCTGCTGTGCTGGGAGATGCCCTTGACATTGGTTTTCTCTGATAAGGTACAGGTGGTGGTTTTTTATTGTCCCATAAGGGGAAGCATAGGATCGGATTGCAGTGGATCTTATTCGTTCCTCAAGAAGCCGTTCGGATTGACTTAGCTTGATGTATTCTCTAGCTTAGATGCTATCTTATTATCCAGTTGTTTTTTCTCTGTCTGGCATGAGATAAGCTAGTTCACTGTCTGGATACAGTAGATTTGTTTTTTTTTCCTGGTATTTTCCTTATTGGGCACCAGTCAAGCTAGTTCACTGATCCCTTGCAGTAGATGATCGGTTGAATTCATTTAGTTTTGCTTTGCGTGGAATTTAGACTTATCTTCTCCATCCCCGGTTCCATTTCTGGCAAGAGAAGAATTTGGGAAATTTTGGGGCTGAGAGTATCATGGGGCGTTATTGAACCTGGAAATGAGTGCGGGGACATGGTGCATGGACAGGAGCGCTGCTGCTGGTCCGTTCCCTTCTTGGAACAACAGTAYTGGAAACTAAGTCGCGCTTTTTTGTTGGTAGAAGGAGCCCAAGTTGCTAATTCTGGGATTCCGTGCAATGTCTCGCTGCTTTCCATTTCCGCCACCAGGATATGAAAAGAAGGCTAGGACTGATGATGCCGACGTACTGACAAAGGTTCATCTCTTATTTATTTTCTCAATTCTCTTGATTGAACATATTTGCTGGCTTCAGTTACAGTTATTTTGCATTGAATTGTTTATTGTAGCTTCCTATTTTCTTGTTTTACAATGATATTTATCAATGGGTTGGTGACATAAGATATCTCGTGAAGCTTTGGTATGACATTCTGTCTGGGTTAAACCATTGAATTTGTTATGTAACTTATGTTGTATATGCTGATGGTTTCTATGTGTTGAATTGGCTACTTTCTCAAGAGTCTCTGAAACAGTTAGGTTATCAAGCAAAGTATTTTAATTCATGGGTTCATATTTTCTTCCCCATGTTCTCAGGGTCTTATTGCAGATAACACTTTTTGCATGTTCAATCCATTCCTGCAGGTGTTTTATGAATTGGGCCATATGGTGTTTATCGTCTACTCATAGATGAATAAAACCATTGAGAAAGGCTAGAAACAAAAAAGGACAACAAAAAATAAATGCAAGTTTTTGTTTTTCATATCCTCACATTTATTCTTTGCAATTCAATTCTGACACCTTAAAGTGCAGTTGAAAATAAAGGCAATCAGGTCGAGTTCACATTTGTGCTCCACGTGCACATCTCAGCCTGCATTGGGAACATCTCCTGTACTTGTCAATGGTATCTTCTACTCATAGATGTTTTATGAGTAGAAGATCCCAATACATGGTTCGGATGTGCTGTGGGGCGCAAATGTGAACACAATCAGGTCATGGTATCTTCTTTCATATGCCTGGAGATATTGTATTTACAATTGATTTTTGGGTACTCAATAAATCTTTTTCAATCTAGTGCAGACAGTTGTCCTGCATTAATATGATTAATTGCCAATATCTGAATATCAGACTATTTGCATGTAATTGTGGTAGCAATGGGAAAGTTTTAATTATAAAAGCAGCCCAATAAACAAGCTAGGTAATGCCATTTAATAGGTCTGTCCCATGTGCCCATAGAGAAAGCTAAATTGACTTTAATTATCCTTTATACATAATTGGTGCCACTTGAGCTATCTATGTTTTTTATATCAAGACCTTATGAGGGGCTTAGTTGTGCATATTTTTCAGAACTACCCTATCCCAGAGTTTCTGGTTCAGATAAATGAATTCACCACTTATGATGTTCGAGATGGTGCTTAGATGTGTAGATGACATTCACCATGAATGAAAGTTACCATTTCTTATTTTAATTTAATTAGTGAAAGTTACATTTTCCTATAAAAAAATATTCACCATGAATGAGTTATGGCATCTTGCCTTCCATTAAGTATTTGAGCATCAAAATTGGTACCACAGCAATTGAGGATGAACATTGTATCCATGTTGGCATGCTTACGGAATCTACAAATATTGGACCTGATTTTTTTTCTGTCTTGGAGGGGAATATCATGCCACAGGCTTTATGCTTAGGGACTTGAGACTATTCTTGAGCACATAGGCTTCTTGAAGAACATATTACAATTTTTTTTTGGATGGTAAATTAAAGAAATATTCCATTAAAAATAAAGAGGAGTATGGTGCCAAGGTGATGAGCTAGCACTCTATCTCAAAAAGAAATACATAAAACAGAAAACAGTTCTCTCCTTGCAATCTCCCAAATGGAGGAAGAGCCTGTGTCAGACATGCATTGGACTCCGACACTCCATTGATTCTTGAGGGACACTTCTACATGACATTTTTCTTCCTCTCCTTGTTTATTTAACATAAATGAACAATTAATGTACATATCAAATGCCGTTTTTCCTACAAAATGTTATCAAGGTATAAGGTAATCTTTTAAAAATCTATTTTATAGTTTACAAAATTGTGATTGATCAGTCACATTTGTAAAGTCAAATGTTAGGGACACTCGTGCAAATGGAGTCTCTGTGGAGAAGGTTCCTGAAGATAGAAGCCAAGAGATTGCTGTTTGAGGAGATAAGAATCAAAGTTAAATTTTCCCTTAAGATTAGGGAGAAGGAAAAGGCGACGGTGTTGTTAGTAGGAGTTGAAGTAGTTCAAGGGTTGCAGAGTTTCGTTCTTATTTCCTTATTCTCAGGCCCAGTGGGAGTTGGAGATTCAACAAGAGCTGAGTTACTAGCAGCTGTACAAGGTTTACAGGTTGCAAGCCAACTTGGAGTGGAAAATCTGGTAGTTGAAGGAGAATCTAAGGTCATAGTTGGTTGCAGAATCCGGACACTGTCACTTGGGGCTACAGAGATCTTCTGAGGAAAGTAAAATGGATTACAAGAAGCATGACTGTCAATTTCCAATTGGTCAGTGGATCAGCTAATGCTTTGTCAGACTCTTTGGCTAAGTAAGGGGTTTCTTGGGTATCTTTGTATTGGGCTCATTTAATTTCACAGTTTTTGGGTCTGCACTCATACCTATGGGGATGTAGCATCTTGTGCCTCCTCCAAGGCTGTTTGTACTTCCCCTTTTTCTCTCTTTAATAAAATTGCTTAATCATTCATCAAAAAAGGGTTGCAGATATTAGTTTATGAGGCTTTGATTTTAAGAAATGAAAGGGAATGGAAAAGTTCGGAGTGCGAAAGTCACAGAGAGTATCGGGCAGAGTGAAGGATTAACAAGAAAGGAAGATTTACTGCATTGTTTGAGGTGTTTGGGGGAGGAAAGAAGCAGTTAGTGTGTTTTCCTGAATCCTGAAAAAAGAAAAGTACAAGAGTGGAAGAAGGTGCCTGCTATGCTTAAGGAATTTCTGGCTTGGAAATCTGAAGGGGATGATAAGGGCTCGGTTCAGGTTAAAAATGATATGATGGATGGCTCTAATGTTTACAAGTTGAAGGAACTGAGGAGGGAAGAGGACCTGGTTATAGGGAAAGGGTTTTGGATTGGAAATCTGTATGCATTGGGTGACAAGGAGTGGATGAAGAAAATTTTGGTTGAAACTCATTATCAACCAAAAGATTGGAAAAAGGTTGCAAAAGGTATTTTACGGGGTTTGAGGGTGAAAGGAGTGATAGTCATTTCTCCTGTTGCTAATTGCAAGGCTTTGGTAGAAATGGTGGAAGACAAAGTCGGAATTGCAACAAATTTATCAAAAAAAAAAGTTGAAATTGCAACAATTAACATTCAGGTGGAGGGTGGTCCAATCACAGTCTTGAATTGGTGTCCAAATAAAAACTTGAAAGAGATTGGGATGGAGGATGAAGTATTTGTTAGAATACTTGGATTACCATTTCATCTTTGGAAGGAAGATTTCTTTAAGTCTCTTGCTTGCATCTGCAATGCTTGGCTTGATAGGGTGTTTGCAATTGATCTCCAGTCAGCAGCGGTTATGCTTGAAAGAGTGAAACTAGGGGATATTCCTAGAAGGATTGACGTGTTTGCAGATGGTAGATCCTACCCTGTTTGGATTGCTACCTCAATGGAAGCTTCTCTGTGGAGAGAAACTTGTAGGGATGAAGATGAAGGGATGGAGAAAGCTTGCTTACGTGGGGTTGTAGAAGATGGTGGGTTGAGAGGTAGTGTGACTTTTTTTGGAGATGGCAAGGTAGGGGTAGGAGGCTAGAAGTAGGGTGATGCAGATGGAACATTTTCTCCACATGGGAAATGGTAAAGGGCATTGCTTGAGAAGGCCTTCTATTTATGCGTTGACAAATGGTATTAATGATTTTGAGCATACACAATAAGTGTCGAAGGAGAATTTTAAGAGTGGAGGAGTTGGAGATGGGTTGGGTCACTCGCTCTAGTCAAGCAGCTGAATTGGTTCATGCTAGTTCACGTGGTGGTTTTAATGCTCATGTGGGAGATTGCTCAATTGAGGTGGTTGAACCCAATGTGAGGAAGCTCCAAGATGTTGGGCCAGGTAAGGACCAAGGGTTAATTATTAATAGCCCTTTGATTAGAAAGGAGGCTCATGTGATCAGTGATTTAAAAGGCGTGCCTCAAGCGCGCCTAGGCGCACAGACGAGGTGCATTTTAGGGTAGGCGCCTTGCCCAGGTCCTAGCCACAGCCCATTCAAAGGCGTGCGCCTTGCGCCTTTTGAAAACTTGCCGCTTTTTCCTTTATTTTTGAGTCTGGCCACTGGGCCGGGGGCCTCGAGGCCAGCCCAAACATGTCCATTTTAGGGTCTTAAATTCTTAGTTTTCACACAAAAAATAATAATTTTATAGTTTTAATCAGAGCTTCGAGAATCCCCTATTTGGTAACGTTGTCCATTTATTCATCCTAATAAAATATCTTCTTAAAAGCAATTAAAACTATAAAATTATTATTTTTTGTGTGAAAACTAAGAATTTGAGACCCTAACATGGACTTGTTTGGGCTTGCCTCGAGGGGCGTGGCACAAAGGCGGCTCGTAGAATTAGGAATGTAATATATCATATTAGCTACTTGATGCAATTGAGAAAAAAAAGAGATTGTGGTTTTATATGCTTGAAAATGTTTTATATGTTTGATTTCATTTTTAAATTCTCATTTGAATATGCTTTACATATTATATTTATGTATTTTAATTTTCGATAATAGGTTTTTTAAAACATTTATTTTAAAACTTAAGTTTATATTTTTATTAATATTATGTTTTATAATTTTTTGAATTTTTTGCATTTTTTTTTAATTTTTAGCTTTTTTCTTTAAATTGTGCGGCTTGCCTCAAAGGCGTGCACCTTGCCTTGTGCCTTGCGCTTTTAAAACACTGCATTTGATCTTAAGTGATCACATGAGGGACATAGGCAAGGCGGTGATAATGGACGCCTATTCGGGTCTATCATTATCCTCTTCTATTAGAGTTCGGCAAGATGAATTGGGGATTGTTGCTGATGGGCTTGAACATGGTGGTCTTCAAGAAGCTGAGGTAGAAAGGGTAGTGGGGCTACTTATGGAGGAGGTGAACAAGGAGTGGGCTTCTCTTGCAAGCAGCGAATTGCACCAGTTGGTGAAGAAAATGGAAAAAGGCTTGGTTTAATTGCCGCTRGCAGAAGGGTAGAAGTTTTGGAGAGCAAAAGGAAAGGAAAAGGAAAGTGTAAGCGATGTTGACG